GTCCAACCTGTCCAATATTTACAGTGCTCTTAACCACACAACTGGTGGGGTCCAAAACCTGTACACAGAGATACTGGGAGGTCAGGCAAAGCACAACGAGGGACGATGTCACACAAACACAGAGAAACGATAGTCAGGGTTGCAGTTCAACAATCCAGCGAAGACAGGATTCAACCTCAGCTTAATAGTGGTCTTATCAGCCAGGTGGTCAGGAACAGGTGGAGCCTCACAGGTGCGCACAATCAAAGGCGGGATGAGAGACGAGCCCAAGGACCCGGGGCAAAACACCAGACACAGAGAAACCGAACCCCTGACACTGAAAGTGTCTCTGTGGGACCAGAATCATTTTGTTTTTACATTTTGAAGTTGTGAGCAACATTTAATTACATAGAGAGACAAATTATTTTGAAAATTAAGTCAAATCTTATTTTGAATTTGACTCCAGCAAATTATTGTGTCTGCACTCAAGCAGCTTGTTTTTTCTTGTCCAATGAGAAGCTTTGTTTTGTTTTGTAATAGTACAAACATAGTAAAAATAGATTTTTTTTTTCAGTTTAATATCATTGGATTGTGTTTTTATTTATTTCCAAAGTGTTTTAACCTTTCGGGAAATGTTGCTTAACGTGGTCGTTGCTGCATTGTGACATCTCTTTGATCATTTGGACAAATCAACCTTTGAATTCCAGTTTCTAGCAGCTGTGAATGTTCTCATCACGCCTTTTTGTCCTCTCTTTCTTTAGTGAAGAGATTTGCACCCTGGCACCAGAAAATAGAAGATAAGTTCAAATTCACTTTCAAATACAAGTTATATAAATTTAAAAAATCAACCCAGATCAGCACCTTTACTAGCAAAAAAGCGCAACAATTATATTTTGGAAATCTTTTACAAAAATCATTTGCAAATGGCAAAAAGTTTGAATTCAAACTTAAAGAAGCTGAAAACTCTACCCATAAAAATGGCCATAATAATCTTCTTGTATCCAAAAATAGTCACTTCCTCAAAAGAAAGTTGTCGTTTCCAGATGATCTTGCTGTTAAACCAAAAAGAAATCCTGCCTATCCAAACTCTATCAATCCTTTCCATTCAAAGATTCCCCACATACCTGGTAATCAAATTATTTTTTTCTCTGAAGTTCAAATTTTCAATACACACATTTTTTCCGAGATGTTGACAGCAGCCGAAGCAAAACATCGAAATAAAATTCTACCAAATTCACACCACAACAAACGTAATACTTGTAGTACGGAAGAGCAGCAAAAAATGAAGCTGTTTAAGGATGAAAGTGAATCGATTTGTCAACAGAATAAAAAGGAAGAGAAATTTTATCATTCAATCAAAGAAATGCAGAAAACAATTCCAAGTGTTGATGCAAACAGATTTTTTCCATTTCTGAAAGAATACCTTCAGAGTAATGAACAAAAGCAGTATGCATTTGCTATTGTTGTCATGAAACATAGTAAAAATATCATTGTATCTCCAGCATTTAGGCCAGATTCTAAAACCCCAAAAACCCAGAAAACAAGAAAACATAGTGAACCTTATTTATGTGAAGCTTTTGAACCTTTTTTGCAACAAAATGGAAATTTAGTGGAGACTATTCTGATTTATACATTCAACAGTCCATGTTTAGGTTGTACTTCTCTACTTCTCGAAAAAGCTTATCTCTGGCGCTGTAAATATGGATTTTCCACAACTGTAGCATTCACACAATTTTACGGATTAAGTGGACAAAATTGTTTCCAAACTCTCACCTACTCATCTACCAACATGTTAGGTCCATGCGGTGTGTTTTATGAAGACAGTCAAAGATGTAAGTGTGATCCCTTCAAACTGAAGTCTTTCACAGTCACACGTAAAATCTTCCAAAATATCAGGAAACTTAGTGAAAAAGAAAAAAAAGAGAGCTGCCGTAAGAAAATTGAATCTTATGTGTCTGTGCTGAAAACACTGGCAAAAAACTCCTTTTGTTCACGTGAAACACATTTACAACGTGGTGAAAACACAATTTATTCTTTCGTATTTCCCCCAATGATCCAAGATGCATGTAGAGAGAGTCTTTTAAGGGACTGGTTAGTACTGGTGAACGACAGTGCCATGTCAAACATGAGACAAAAAATCACCCTGAATTTTAATGTTGGGTTAGTTGAAATTATTAACCAAAATCTTAAGTCCTCTTGTGGGAACAACAGACCTCTAAAGCTTTGCCACATCCCTCTGAATCTGCAATGATTGAGACGACTCTAAAAAAAATCTAATTAAAATAATTTTATGTGTCTGTGCTGAAAATAATGCAAAAATTATCCTTTTGTCCACATGAAACACATTTACAATGTGGAGAAAATACAATTTGTCTTTCATATTTCCCCCAATGATCCAAGATGAATGTAGAGACAGTCTTTTAAGGGACAGGTGTGAACTGGTGAACGACAGTCAAACATTAGAGAAAAAACACATGAATTCCAATTTCATAATAGTTGTGGGAACAATACTCCCTCTAATTTATAAAATTATATATCTATAAATCTAGAATTGGATGTATAATAAATAATGTATATTCATTTATTCTAAATAAATGAAAAAAATTAAAAAACTTTTTTTTTTTAAATATTAAATTATATATCATAAGATATATAATTTAATAGATATTTATATACGTCCAGAGTAACAGCCGTAGACCGCAGTTTGCCGCCTGTCAGGTAGTCAGTAATCCAGGGGAGCTGAACTCTGAGAGCAAACAGCCTGGTGACTGTAGCGTGCCGAGGGGCTCACGTGGATCTGTGGCTGAATCTGGAGCTGAGACGTGTTCAACGAGGACTCCTACGAGGCAGCAGAGCTGATGCGCTGATCATTAATGGCCGAGGCTGCTCACACCAAAGGTGGGTTGATGAGTTATCAACTGTAATAATATCTTGTAGCTTGGAAGAGAAAAATCTCATCTTTGTTCTCTGTCTTGCCTCCTCCTGTTGGTTTGTGTGTTAGTGAGTGGCAGGATTCTCCAGTCCAGTGAGCAGAGCTCCATCAGCTGGTGGAGTTCAGTCAACACACCTGCTCTCAACAACCAGCAGTGTGCTCAAACATCGGTTTCTCCTCCATCCTGCACGATGTTTTACACTCCAGAAGCAGTAAATCAGGATTACATCACCTCTCTGTAGAAGGAAACTTTCCAAGTGTCCTTATTTTGGATTCTTGTGTCCTTCTCAGTTCCTTCCTGGTGTGTGTGCTGGACTGGATCCTCTGGCTCTGTGCCATCCTTTACTTATAATAAAAATCATTGAAACTTTTGTCGCTTGTCTGAGTCTGCATTTAAATCCATGTGTTCTGGTTCCCTGTGTCAAAGATGTGAGCCACAAGCACAAACCAAACTAAATTTAGTCCATAAAGGTGAACATTTCAGGGGGAACAGGTTTTAAAACCATAATAAAACAAAAATCCAAATTCCAGTAAAACAACAAATCTGCTAGTAACAGATACATTAATGAATTTGTAACTTATAAAAATTAGCTTGCTAAATTATGAAAAAAGTCCAGCACTCCTACAAAGTTCAATTTTTGAGCTCACAATAATAAAAACCTTCCAAATGTTATATAGTTACATTTCACAATAAAGGTATAACCCAAACCCAGCATCAGCGCTGTCAAATCTAATTAGTTCCCAGAACTCAAAAAAATTATGCAAACTCGCTGCCTCAAAAAAACTAGCGAGGCTTACTTAAAATGACTAAGTTAGGGCAACTTATTCATTCTAAACTACCCCATAGTAGCAATTTATTACAAAGCAGCTGGTGCCTCCTGTTGGACACGAGACCACATCAATTGTTCTCAAACTTTTTACATCATTCCCCACATGTCAGAAAGAAATATTTTCACTCCCCATTTAAACAAAACAATGACAGAAAAGGCTAGCAGCAACTTTATTTAGATAATAAACTTATTCACAACAATTCCTTCGCTAATTTTTGTTTTCAATAAACAACTTTCATTTCAAAAAACTATTTGTAACTTTTGTCACTAGACTACTTCATTAGTCTGCACCACTTAAAGTTAAACAGAATGTGAACATTGCCAGACGTCTTCATGCATTCTTAATCATACAGCTAAGTAAATCTCCAAAAGATAATTCTGATCATCTGGATGCAGCGTTTTCAGTGGGAGAAACATTTCGTCACTCATCCAAGTGACTTCTTCAGTGTCAGCTGACTGCAGGTTTCCAATCTTATAAACACTACATTTGCATAATGACTGAAACCAGCCCACTGAAGGAACAATGGGCTGGGAGGTCAGTTCCTTCATCTTAATTATGCAAATTATTGATCAGTGGTTGTCAGTGGTTGTTGATCAATGGTATGAATACCATTGATCAACAACCACTGATCAATGGCCATGAGTACCATTCACAGAAAGTTCACCCACTTTGCAGTTATTTATTTGTAAAAAATGTTTGGAATCATGTATGATTTTCATTCCACTTCTCACGTGTGCACCACTTTGTGTTGGTCTTTCACCTGGAATTCCAATAAAATTGATTCATGTTTGTGGCTGTAATGTGACAAAATGTGTTAAAGTTCAAGGGGGCCGAATACTTTTGCAAGCTACTTCATATAATATATAAGTTCAAACACACTCAAGGTATGCAGCAGGGCAATGATTCGAGTCCACTTCTGAATTACCTCAACAAAACAAAACATAAATAAATACATTAATAAAAAAATACAATTAAAAAAACAGACAAACAAAGGATTTGGAGAGGCCTAGCCAAAGTATATTCTAAAATACTGGTGGTAAAATGAAAATATAAAGGGAAGAATTTAAAGTAAGAGTTTAGCAAAGACAAAGTGGGTGTACAGTCTGTTGTTGGTGTAACAACAGAGGAATAAATCAGCTGAGCCTGTCGATCTTCAGGACCAGCAACCTATACACATCTGTTTGGCTCTCTGAGGTAATGCAGAGCTCAGATGGAGCCAGTGTGGGTGAAGGGAATAGCCCAGCTTTAACAAACTTGGTGTTTAGGTGTGTTCCTTGGATCTGCTGATAACATAATCAAAAACCTGTGCATCCTTTCAAGTCAAATCTTACCAGTCACACCTGTTAACGGTAGCTCTTCCATACAGTGGGGCAAAAAAGTATTTAGTCAGCCACCGATTGTGCAAGTTCCCCCACTTAAAATGATGACAGAGGTCAGTAATTTGCACCAGAG